TATATATATAAAAAATATATATATATATATATATATATATATATATATAAATATATAATATATATATATATATATATATATATATATATATATATATATATATATATATATATATATATATATATATATATATATATATATATATATATCCTATCCATTGTCTCTACTGTAATAAACGCACAGACCTATCAAAACACATAAGTATCTCTAACATAGATGATTGATTACCAAAACACATAAGTAACTCTAACTTAGATGATTGCACAACATTGCCCTTTTTTTTTAATTTAAGGCTAAACAATTTACAAAGCAAAAGATGATTTATCTATTAGACTTTTCAGCAGTTTTTCTGCAATAAACCTTCTACAGAAAAAACTTTTAATTAACCTTTTTTTAATAGCGATTTTGGTGGATAATAAAATGACATAAATTTTAGCAAACAGAACTATCATAGAGGGGATTGGGAGAAGTCATTGCAATTTAATAACTATTGTTATAATTTTTTAAAAAGAGTTTAATTTAATACCTCAGCCTGAGAATTAGTAGCTGGGTTATTAGATGCAATGTTCTCTGAGTGGTAAGGTAATAATCATTAAAGTTTGTAATTTCTTTAAATTTTTTGTGGGTTTTTTTTGTTTTTGAGTAAACTTTATGGTTTTCAAATATTTGTTTTTAAATTTCTATGCAATGCAATATAGTTGTGTTTATTTAAAGAACCTGCTTAAAAAGTATTAAATGATTGAAATTGATATAAAAATTTCATAAAATGGCTTTTTTTCCTATATAAAATATGTATATACAAATGTTTTCCTGGGTTCAAATCCAGCACTAACCAAATAAACTAATTTTAGTTTTTTTTTAATTTACTGCTTGTTTAAATACAGAACAAAATAGTTTAAGTAAAAAAGAATTAATTTGTAAGAAATTTTTTAAAAGTTATCTTATACATATAAAATTTTTTTTAAAGTTATCTTATATTATACATATATTATACACAATTGTTACTTGACTTATGCTGCGTTTACATGATCGTTACTCGACTTAAGCTACTGACATTTACACTTATAGATGTTTGTACTAATGCTATACAAATAGAATATTTCCATTAAATGTAAATGACATATTATTAATTTACAATTTTAAATAATTTCTTACACTAGCTTATAAAGAAGTTCTAAATGACTTTTTCTCACCACTACCTCAGCTTTAATGGCTGCCAAAAGTTCTGTGTCAAACACGAAGGAGTGGTCACTACTACTCCTATTAAGTTTAGCATTATTATATAGAGAATAAATTAACAGAAAATTTTTTTTTAATAACTGTTGTTTTCTTTTTTTGGGGGTTAGATTTTAACATTGCCTTATAAGTAAATTTGAAGTAAATATAAAAAAAATATATTATTAGGAATTTTTTAATGATTATTAAATTTGCAAATAAGAGAAATCTCATAGTATCATAGAAATTTACATTATCTTAAACCCTGAAAATTGTAAACCCTATGTGCAATTGCAATAATTAGTTATGCCACTAAAAAATTAAAAAAATTAATTAAGCTTCCAGAAAATGGTATTATTCCCACTATCATTAATCTATTCCTGCTAAAAATATTTATTTTAATTTTTGTAGGGTTAACTTTGGGGTGAAAAAAAATAGTAATGAAAGAAAAGATTGAAGTATTATGATAGTTAATGGTATTTATTTACTATTTAGGAGATAATAAAATGTTGGTATGTATTTACTATTTATTTTTATAATGAAATGTTGGATTTTATTTACTATTTAGGAGATATGAATTTATCAAGAGGAAGAGAAAAGGGATTTAGCAAAAAGATATAGATGATTATTTATCAACACTTTTTACATAAGTGAAAAAAATAGAAACAGATTTTCAAAACTTGTAAAAGGTATATAACAGACAACATGAGGGGAAGTATTTGGAGAAGATTGTGAGTATTAAAAAAATTAGAAATTGTTAAACTCGTGCAAATATAGAGAAGTAATATTAGAACAATAATAATAAAAATAATTATCATTAGATATTGATTTTAAAATATTTCAACCTTCCCCAACCACCCTTTCCCTTTCATCAATCAATATAATATATTTCTTGTCTCTTACATTATAAGAAAAAGAGTGCTTTTATTTAGATATATATTAATTTTATACTATATGTATACTATATAATTTTAGAACATAATAAAAAGTATAGAATAAATTTATAAAAAATATTTAACAATTCGTCTATATAAAATAATAAAAAATAAATGAATACATATATATATATATATATATATATATATATATATATATATATATATATATATATATATATATATATATATATATATATATATATATATATATATATATATATATATATATACATAAATATATATACACTGAACTATGTACAGTATGTAAGTAATTTTTATTTACATCAACATAAAAAAATAATACTAATAAACTTTTCTAAACTTTGTTTTTTAAAATAAATGTTTTAAAATTAAACAACTTTTTTTAAACAAATGTTATATTTTACCATATGGTATAAGATTTTGAAGATATTGTGAAGTATCCATATCAAAATACACCGCCTAAGAAAATCAAAAAAAAAAAAATTAATTTTAAATAAATAAAAACTGTTCTATTAGAAGCTTTAAATATTCAAAAAATTAAATTTCAAAATCACACTATAATTCCAATTTCAAATAACATACCCTTTTATACCAGTAGTTTGGATCTTCGTTTGCATTTACATCTCCTAATTTGTGCTCAATACAACGCCCATAAACAAAACATCCCATTGCAATACCTTTTTTAACATAAAATTCTAAACTATCAGTCTTCTTAGAAAAATACAACGAATCATCTAATGAACCAACTCTATACAAAAAAAATATAATTTACTCAAAAACAACAGCAAAATTTATAAATAATACTTTGGAAATAATTCTCTTATAATTGACTCAAAATAAACTATTTTAAACTTCGAAAATATATTTAGAAGGGTTAAACCAAACACCTTTTTGCTAGTAACTTATTAGGATAACTTGTTTTTTTAAAACAACTAACCTACTGGTAATATATCATTTAATTTGTAACTTTATTTCTTAGTCATTAAAGAAATGCATAACAAATAAAACATTATTTTACATTCTATTTATTAGCTATATTTTTGATTCTATCTAGGTTTTACCTAATTTAATAAATAAAACACAGTTTTGAAAAAAATACAATGTTTGATGAATTTTCTAATTTTTTGGATGTTTAATCCACAAACAATAAAAATAAAAAAACTCAAGAGTTTTTTTATTCTTATAGTTACAAGGTAAAAAAATATAGTATGCAAGAAATTAAAAGTTTCATTCAACACACACACACACACACATATATATATATATATATATATATATATATATATATATATATATATTATATATATATATATATATATATATATATATATATATATATATATATATATATATATATATATATATATATACATACACACTGGCATAGTAAGTATATATATATATATATATATATATATATATATATATATATATATATATATATATATATATATATATATATATATATATATATATATATATATATATATATATATATATACACATATACACACTGGTGTGTATATGTATATATATGTATATATATATATATATATATATATATATATATATATATATATATATATATATATATATATATATATATATATATACATATACACACTGGCATAGTAAGAGTCTTTAATGGTAAAAAAAAGTCTCTTTTAATGGTCTCTTAAATGTTAATAAATAATTGCAGAAATACATTAAGTTTTATAAATTTTTTAAAAACCACAATAATTATGACTACAGGCCTTTCAAGAAAAGGCTTGCAGTCACACCGAGTTTATCTACAAACAAAATAATTTTTTGAGACAAACCGCCGCAATAATTTGTGGGAAAGCTAAATTTATCCACAGAGAATAAAACTAATACTAAAAAAAAGAAGCAAAATCTTAACAAAATATAAAACTTAAATCAAATTTAAGAGTTAAAAAAATAATAAATTGCAAAAAAAAAAATTTTTTGTCACAAAAAAAAAAATATTAGCAAAATATTTACACTGTTTTTGTTTTCTTTTTTGTTAGGGTTGTTGTTATTATTTTTATTGTCAAAAAAAGAAGAAGACTTAAAGTCAAAAAAATTTACCGCCAATATAGGATAAGGCTTGATACGTAATTTATTTACAAATTTATTCATCAGTCAGTATATTACAAAACTAATTCATTATTTATGCTACTATGAGAAATTTAGTTAAATTTTTTATTTTATTTAGTTTTTACAAAGCTATTTGTTTCATTTGGCTGTTGTTTCTCAATACTTAGTCAAGCTTAAAAATAAAGTTCTATTTATAATTAAAATATATTATTTGAATTTTTAAACATAACAAGATTTTATTTTGATTACTATTTATTATTTTATTTTTATTAAGTTGCAATCAATTGATTGCAAAACTTTTTAATTACAGAAGAAGTTAAAAAAATAATCACAGTTTTTTTGTCTTAACAAATCGTATTATAAAGACTTATTAACAAATTGTTTTAAAAAAACTAAATTTAAAAAAATGTTTAAATTGTCTTCGAAAAAACTTATCAAAAAATAAACTCTTGGGTTTACGATTCGGAGAATCCAATACAAGCGTAGACTGTCAAATTGGGCAAGGGCAGAACCAGACCATGAAATAATGAAGTGGCATTTCCAGATTTTCTGATTTGGTGGTTCCAGAACATCTATTAGGGGTGATTTTCCAGCTATAATGATTAGTAGGCTGGCCATAATTTGAAATTTGCACTACACAACTTTATTAAAATTTCATGATTTTAAACAGCTTTTAATTTATTTCCATTTTCAAAACACATACTGTGTTAAATATACAGTTTTTAAAAAAAACCTAAATGTCTAATGGGGTTGCCCTCAGAGAAGCCCCCTCCCATTACAAATAAATCCACCATTGCAATTAGGGTAATGAATACAACTAAATATTTCATATTTAAACATGATTATTAAACGCTTGTTATAATTTGACAATAAAATCTTATTACATTTAAAGATAAAAATAAAAATATTTTTCAAAATATTTAGCTTTCTCACTTCCTAGTGAATCAATAAAAAATGTAAAACATTTGAAAAATCAATTTAAAAATTGTTTATAGTTCTGATGTAAATATTAAAATATTTCCTGACTGATAAAAGTCATGGATAAATTAAAAAATCTTTTTATTTTTGTTAAATTTACATGAATCTTTTTATTTTTATTTTTTTTGACATGTTTTATTTTTTTTTATAGCGGAAATAACTACCACTCTAAAATAGAAAAGTAAAATAATGTTTTTGTTTTTATTTTTTTATTGTTTTATACTATTTCTGAATATTTTTTATTTTTGTTTTAATAATGGGAGTAAATAAATATACAATACAAAATAATCAAAATATTCAGCGACAGAAGAAAAACTTGTCTATTGTTTTAATTGTCAAAATATAAAAAAATATTAAAAATATTATTTGGATAATGTTGGTTTTATAAGCTACATTTGATCAGGTATATGAAATTTTTTTTTTTTTTTTTTTTTTTATTTTAATTCACCTCCTCAAGGCCGAGAAGGCCACTACAGACGAGGAGGCTACTTATTTGTGGTTATAACCCTCTCTCAACTCTATAACTCTGAAACACGAACCTTGACGAGCAAGGCCGCTGCGCGGAGAAACAAGTTGAGCGCGGTACTACCAGGGACGTGGTGGGGATCGAACTCGGAACCACTCGTTTATGAAGCGAGCGCTCTACCACTACACCACTACCGCATAAAAGTGACAACTGGCAATAACACACTTTAAAAACTTTACTTTTACTAACATAGCTTAACTAAAAATTTACATGTCTGGTTTCTATATAATGATTTAATTTATGCCTTGACAGAAGCAGCGTTGATTAATAGCATGTTCTTAAAACAGTCTATATACAAAATATATTTTTCATATTTTTTAATATAATGATTTGGTTTAACCTGATTTTAAACAGCGTGACTATTGTTATAAATTGTTTAATAAGCAAAATTTACTTTTTCGCCAGAATATTACTTTGTTTAAAACTATAATGCTTTTATAAAATTCCTTGCAAACATTAAAAATATTGACTAAGCACACCATCAACCGGGACTAGTTTACTCCATCATAAATTACTTTGCACTAATTTTGAAAATTTTTGTTGTTACTCAAGTCTTATAGCAATATTGATATTTTTATATTATGTTTTTTTTTATATTAGTTGGGCTATTAACTTCAGTTCTTAGAATAAATTTTGAATGATGCTGCCATTTTATGTGTTGTTTTTTTAATATTTTTGTAAGCCTTTTTTTTTTAACCAATTTTTTCTCTTTTAAAAGTGTGTTTCTAAACGAAAATTCAAATAAGGATTTTAGTTTATTTATGCTAAGAGACCATTTGTAGTTTAAATTATCCACAAAAAATATCTGGACTGAGCTATTATTTACAAACATGCTGTTAAAAACAGTTAGAGTGTCACGCTTTGACCTTTTTGGTCAAAAGTTTTTTTTTGGTCCTTAACTTTGCACTAGTTAAGAAAATGGTAATAAGTAACCTCAGACTTATTTTTTTATTTTTACATTTAATAGTTTAAAATGTCGCTATCAAGTTGTTTTTAAGGATCTTAATATACCAAGAAAAACAATAACTAACAAACTAAAGCAAAAACATTTAATGATACCAGGTAAGCAGCCTACATTTTCAAAGCTTAAAAAAGAGTCATTTCGATAATATATTGATGCCATGAGTGATTTTAATTTTGCAGCAAGAGAGATTTGTTTTGCAGCAAGATAGATTTGTTTTGTAACAAGAGAGGTTTGTTTTGCAGCATAAGAGATTTGTTTTGCAGCAAGAGAGATTTGTTTTGCAGCAAGAGAGACTAGAGATTTGCAGCGAGTTGCTACTTGAAAAGAATTTTTGAAAAAGTTAAACAGTTTTTAAGTAATGTTCCTCTTTTTTAACACGATACTCTAGACAAAAACATTTTCTGAACATTTTCTAGCAAATATCAAATAAGAAATTAATATGTTGAAGAGAAAGTTTGTAATTTTTCTAAGGCAAGCACTTCCTTAATGAAATGTGGTTGTGCAGCTAGTGAACTGCTGCCACCTTTTGTTTTGTATAAGGCCACCTAAATGTGAATTACATGGACAGAGGAAAACCCAAAAAATTATCTCTTTCAAAGTACTTGGTTTAATCAGTAATTAGGTTGGTTTGATTCACTTGCTTTTACTAGTTGGTTTAAAAGTTTAATGTTACTAAAAATGAAAAAATTGGCTGACAATCTATTCACCTTATTGTTACTGTATTCAGAATTCCAGAGAATAAAAGATTGCATTTGTATGTTTGCTTCCTAACAGTATACATTTCACAAAACCCTTAGATGATGTTTTTTTTACCGATGAAAATGGTATAAAAAAAAGTTTTATTTGAGTAGAAAGGATCACCTGAAGGTTTATATTTTAGTGTCATAGCTAAGCAGTACTTTTCATTGCTACTAAAACAAGTCCTTGATCTTCCGTGCTGGGCTCAACTTGTTTCTCCCCACAGCGGTCTTGTTCATCAAGGTTCGCATTTCCTAGTTATTGAGTTGAGAGAGGGTTATAACCACAACTAGAAGAAGCCTCCTTGACTGTAGTGGCCTTCTTGGCCTTGGGGAGGTAAATTAAAATAAAATAAAAACTAAAAATGTTGATTTAGATCAGCATTGACAATCTTGTTTACTTACTTTATTCCATATGCTTTTTCAGAAAAAAACAAAGAATAATGAAAATAAAGATTGTTGCCCAGCCTAATTCCTTAGCTGATTAATCTGTTCATTTTTGCATGTTTTACCTATTTGTCAGTCAATGTATGTACTGAAGCCTTTTTTTTATATATTAATTTTAAGCTTTTTTAAAAATATTATAAAAAAAACTATGCTAAATTAGATTAAAGAGTTTGTTAAAAAAAAAAAAAATTAATAGAAAATTTAATTGAAAAGAGAAAATAAAAAAATAAATTAAAAAACTAAAAAATCATTTAAAAGTGCTTTGCGTATTATAAATAGTTTAGAAATTATTTATTCCACACGCAACTATAAAACTTAGTTTAAAATATTTTTAACTTAGCCTTGGAGTTTTATTTTAGTTAAGTTTTATTTAGAAATTTAGTTTACTAAGTTTTGTTTTTTTTAATTTTCTGTCTAGCTAAATATCATCAAACAGCAGTGGTCAATTTGTAAGAAGAAAATATTTTATACATAGCTAAGGAAGGTGCACAATTGTAAGTGTCTCCTGTGAAGGCTTATATTGGGGGTAATCTAGCTTCCACCCCTCCAAAAAAAAAAAAAAAATTTAATTATATTTTTTAAAATTGTATATTTTTTCAAAATTGAAAGTTTTGTTTTGTGAAAAATTTTCCTTTTAAGCTTTTTGAAGGCATTATGGAGCATTTTTCTTTTAAGCTTTTTGAAGGCATTTATAGAGGAACAACTAGAAATATTATTTTTATTTATTGAAGCTAATTTTTTTGAAAAGACCAACATTTTTTGAATATACAAACTTTTTTAAGTTGTAATCCTAATGAATTTATTTCCTCATTATTATTTAGTTGCTTCTGATTTCATGTTGTAAATATTTTCTGTTACTTTGCAGAATTTTTATATTTATTTAACTAAATAATAAATGTTAAATGATAACTATATGATCTGTAAATAAAATAAGAATTAATCACCCTTTAATCATGTATAAGAGGAAGTCATATAATATGGCACATCTAATTATATGGATATTATAATAAAATGTGTAAATAATTTATCATAAACTAAATAATGTTAATGGTATTTCTAAGAAATATTTATTTTGTAAACAATTTCAAAACTAGATTAGAGAAAATTAAAAGTTGGAAAACATGGAAAAGTGTTCTATTGGATTAGAATGTAATGTTGAATGTCACAAACAAGGTTTAACAAGAAAATAAAAAGTGTTTTAGACACATCAACATTTTCAAGTGATGAAAAATACGAGCTATAATGGAGAGCTGGTTTATTTGATTGTGAAAAATTGTTTACAACAGTTTGCTATTATCATAGATAATAATTAGAGCTGCATTTGAAAGAAAATAACAGAAATGCTGTAGTCTATTTTAAAAACACAGAAATCGAAAGAAAAACATATAAGGTAATTTTGATATTATTTTGATGATTAAAATATTTTATATAGTAATTAAATAAAGTAAAGAAATAATAAGACAACTAAATGCTTTTTTAAGATCAAAATTCAAATATTTTTATAAATTTAAAATTTAACTGTTTTATAAATTATAAGTATACTAATTTGTTCTTTACAATGATGTTTAGTTGATATTAGTTTTTAGAATTGTTTCTTTTTTTTATTGTGAAGATATCGCAATGAATAGCAATAACTCTTAAAACACAAGATATTCCTGTTGTACCTGGGTGTTATACCTGGGTGGAAATTATGCAGTAGTTGTTACAAAAGGGTACAAAGTACAAATAAAAAATTAGAATCAAATGAATAATGCTAAAGCAGGGTTGAATCTGAACATGAACAATGTTCAGCTCTCAATGAAAGTCTTAAATCTATAGGTGTGTCACCTATTAAGCTTAAATCAGTGCCAAAACACCAACAGTTACCAGCTGTGAAAATAAAATTAGATCAAATAACTGAAACAACAGCAAACAAAACAAATAAAGTTTATAATATTGATCCTATGATTAGATTGACACCATCTTGTACACCACGCACTTCTTCAGTTGATAACCATAAAATCTAAACTTACTTTCAAATGAATCAAAAATTAAATTAAAATATGTGACATCATACTCTGCAAAAATACAGATATTAACATTAATTCCAGAATCATGGTCACTCCCAAAATCTGCAGAATTTTTTAATGTATCTCTTTACCTTATACGAGAGGCTAGAAAAGCTAAAAAAAAACATCGAATTTTGTATAAACCATCATCAAAAAAAAAGAAAACTTACTTTCCCATGAAACCATTGATCTAGTTTGTAGCTTTTATCAAAGTGACAAGTACACACGAATGATGCTTGAAAAAAAAGATTTTGTCAGTATGGGGTTCAGGCAACACATGCAAAAAAGGCTAATATTGATTAATTTAAAAGAACTTCATGTAGTATTTAAATCTGAACACTTTAATTGAAATGTTGGATTTTCAGCCAAGTTTTGCAGCCTTCGCCAAAGATGGTGTGTAACCACAAACTTGTCTGGCACTCACGGTGTTTGTGTCTGTACCAGACACAAACACCGTGAGTGGAGTCGTAAAAAAAAAGGGGTGAGGAGTCGTAAAAAAAAAGTAACGACTCCGACTCCAGTTGTTAAAATTTTTTGATTATAACTCCAACTCCGACTCCAGTAGTTGAAATTTTTTGAGTACAACTCCGACTCCTACTCCAACTCCAAAGCAAAATTTTTTAAAAATTCTTTGAATTTTTTAAAAAATATAATGCGATAAGTTAAAAATTTCTTTTTTGACAAATTTATGAAAAGTTCTTTGAGGTTTAGTATGAACATAAGGTTAATTGAATGTTTTGTACATGCACATGCAATATCGAGAAGTTTTACTATTAAAGTTGGAGAAGCGATTTTGTTAAGCGACTCTGACTCTGCTAAAAATGTCGCAACTCCGATTCCGACTCCACAGCCCTGATCTGTACCTATCATCAGAATATTAAGTTGTTAACTGATGCTCTTAAAATTGACAAAGACTATAGAGATTTAATGGGAATGATTGTTTGCAATCAATTTACAAAAATTGTTTACATTGATGTCTACTGTGTCCTGGTATTACTGCTTTAAAAGAATTCTTAACAGAAAATTTTACAAAAATGATAAAGAAATAACAACTAACCAATGGCAAGATACTGATAGAACTGCGCTGATCAATCGAAAAATCAAGATTAAAAGTCAGCCTAAGTACCTTAAAGACTGTAAAAAGTTAAATCACAATGATTGTTTAATATTGGGTAACATTGAAAGAACTTTCAATTTATTGTTCAGGATGAGATGCAAAATTACAACTGGAATAAACCAAAATGTACACTTCATCCTATTATTATATACTAGAAATCAAAGGGTAAACTGATATCTAAGTCATTTTGCTTTCTTTCTGATGACGCTGATCATTTTTAATCTTAAAAAAGTTAAAGCATATAATTACATTTTAATCCATTTTATTGTCCTGACGAAAAATGAACTAGCTAAAATCAAGAGAAAATTGGTTACTTATTATTGCATTTGATACAGAAACTTTTTTTCCTAAAAGAGCAAAAGAAAAGCATCATATAATAAAATTTTTGGGCAACCATATCCCTCCAGCAGTACCAAAACAGGTCTGGGTTTGTCTCTAACAAAAACAATAGCAAGAACAACAATAACAAAAATAACAAACAATTATTAGCTTCTTGTCAAGTTGTTTCTCTGTGCAGTGGTCCTTTGTCAAGGTTTGTGTTTTGGAGTAATAGAGTTAAGAGAGGGTTGTAACCACAAATAAAGAAGCCTCCTTGACTATAGTGGCCTTCGTGGCCTTGGGGAGGTAAATTGGCATAAAAAATAATAATAATAAAAAGAAAAAATTAAAAAAAAATTAAAAAAAAACTTTTTAAAAAGCTTTATATAAAATAAATTTAAAACCTTTTTGAAACAATAGCTGCATTTTTAAACATTTTGTGTTTGTAATATTGTAATGCTAGATGACCCATTGCATAAACACCTCCACGTTCAGCTGCTGATTTAAAACATTTAAATGAAGCTTTGACATCTTTTTTAACATAAATCCCATTTTCATACATTACTCCAAGAGCTGTTTGTGATTCAATGCTGCCATTACCTGTTGCTTCTTGATGCCAATAGTGAGCCTAAATTGTTATTTTTTACCGAAAAATATTTAAGAATGCTATATTAACAAGTTGACATATATATATTTCAATGAAAATGATAAATAAAAGTAAAAAGTTAAACAAACATAAGTTATTAAAAGATATTAATACCTTCATTATAAATCGATATAAACTAATACAAATTATTAGTATTACAAAATACCATATGATATTATTCGTAGAGTTTTCTAAAAATTATTTTTTACCAAAAACAATTCTTTTAACTAACTAATAAATGTTACCTTTTTCAAATCATATTTTTCTTCACCCAGCCTTGAGTAATACATTCCAAGAACTGACATAGCTTTCACACATCCTCCGGTAAATCCATCCTGAGCTGCCTGTAACCACCAATATTCAGCTTCTACATCTGACTGTTTAACACCAACTCCTTCATAATAGGCACATCCAATATTAAAGTATGCACAGTAAATAATATCAGATGGGTGACTCTGATTTGTTATTTCTTGCATCAACTTTACAGCATCTGACTAAACATAAAAATTTTTTAAAATTCAAAAAAAAAAAATTCTAAAAGCTGATAAATAAAAAGTTAAAAAATTTTACAGTTTTTAGTTGAACTCTAGAAATAGATTATATAAAATAGAATCGAAAAGTAAAATTAAAAGAAAAATTCAACTCATTGTGTATATATATATATATATATATATATATATATATATATATATATATATATATAGCTTAATAATAAAAAAAATTACTAACACTTTATTATCAAATAAATGAAGATATTTAAATATTTTTATAAACATCTTAATTTCAAACAAAGCTGAAAGCTACCACTATTAGAGTTGGATGTTACTGAAGAGAAAAGATTAACTTTATAAAGTTAGAAAATGATTAAAAGATGACTAAAAAGATTGCAAACTATATTAAACAGAGCGAATTCCAAAGAACTGATGTTTGAGGAAATAAACTAGAAAATCAGAATACTTGGAGTATTAAGACCAGTCAAAGTAAAAGGATGAGACTTATTTGAATGACAAGTAACACAAGAATGAATTTTAGAAGATAGCAACTAGCTCTTTAAAACAGCCCTATTATAATATTTTTAGCAAAAGAGAAAAAGAAGCAACATTACAACAATGTTACAATGGTTGAAAGTTTTATGCAAGAGTAGGCCCAACTATGTTTACAATGCCCTTTTGCACCCTGTCTAAAAGAGAAAAAGCATCATTTAAAGATCCGCTCCAGATATGGCAACAGTATTTCATAGAAAGACCGACTAAAAATTTATAGAGATAAAGAATAGAATTCTGAGTAAGAAAGTGGCAAACACAATAAACAGATACCACCTTAGCAGATGCTCATTTTGTGATGAATTTGATATAGGATTTCTAAGAAAGATCAGACGTAAGAGTTTATCCAAGATGACTAAGGGTAGATGACACATTAAGTACATTACTAATCATAAATATAAAAGATCTAGATTAATGCAATAACAATCTGCTGAAAATAGTTTTATCTGACGTAAAGTTCACCAGCCACTTAGAGCCCCGTGATGTAGCAGAAGTGAGGTCTTTTTCAAGCTTAAATATCATCTATAAGCAATGAGAGTGTTGGCTAGTTATCAAGAAAAAATAAATAGTAGTACATCAGCAAACAACCTTAAATGTGAGAATTTAATGCCAACTTAGATGTGAGAACTTTAGAACTTGTTAATGTAGAAAAAAATGTAACGAACCAAGGATAAAATCTTAAAAAACTACTAAATTTACTAGAAATAAAAGAGTGCTGTCAAATGAGAACAACTTTTATACTATGATTAGTAAAGTAGAATTCAATAATCTTGAAAATGTTACCAGATACACAGTAAAAAGAAAAAAGAAAAGCTTTAGTAATGACGAGAGCATTAGCAATTTCCACATCTACCTAATGCACAATAAAATCTTTCCCTAATTACTATTAATAAATCAGCAGTAGAATAAGAAGATCGAAATCCATATTGATGATCAGTGAGTAAGTTATTAGATTCAAGATAAGAGATTAAGTGCTTGTTAACTAAAAACTCAAAAACCTTGCTTATAATAGAAAGAAGACTAATTGTCTAACGGACTTTAGTTAGACGAGTCAGATTGCTCTCTAGAATTTTTGAAAATAGGAATAATGCTTTTCATACCTCTTTCCAACAGGCTGGAAAATAAGACTCTGCCAAACACTTGTTAAATAGTTTTGAAAGTATAGACGACAGCTCCGGAGAACACTTCTGCACGACTATAACAGGTATGTTGTTCGCACCACAACCTGTCTAAGAGTCTATGCAAGAAATCACTTTAGATACAGAAACTAGAATGATATGAATGTCAAGTATTGGATTAACCAGTTTGTCGGCTATATCAAGTAGGATGTGATTAATGGAATTAAGAGATGAGATTGATAAAAAATTCTAAGCAAACAACTCAGCTTTGTCTTTAGGTAATGAACAAAAATTGGAACCATGCAAGAAAGATAAAATAACAGATTTTCCCTTATTATAGACACTGTTAAAGATTCTTTAGAAGTCTCGGGAGCCTAACTTTGGAGATAAATTAAAAGATTTCATGACATGAGAATAGCGGATCTTTTAACAATAGTTTCTAACAATACTTCTAAACAGATCTCTGAAGTCTGAAGGTCATCGAAAAGAAAATCACTGTAAGAGTCCCAGTCAGCTTTAAAGTTAGTTGTAAGACTTACAATGAAAGGCCGGATTCTGAAAATGAAGAAGAACAAGATAATAGTTTTAGAGAGATTAAACCATGATCAAAAGCACCTAAGGGTGAATGTGAAGAAACTGAGCACTGTCTAAGATCAGTGAAAAAGAGAAGATAAATGATTTGGATTGTCTAGAAAGTATGATGATCATTAAAGTCACCAACAACAACAATATTGGCTGAGGGATAAAGAGAGAGGGCTAGGTCATTTTAATTAGAGATAACATCAAAAAGAGTGCAGTCTTGAGATGAAGGAGAGCAATATAGAACAAAGAGAAAGGTGATAGAGTGAAGTAGTGCTAAACAAAAGCATGAAAAGAATAGTTGGTGGATTCAAACCCAGTTTCCAAACAAATGGGTGAACTCTTATGAATGAAATGCCCAGGCCAAGCATATGATTTATGGAGTCTTTATGAATTATAGGAAGATAACCATCAACATTAAGATCACAAGATGAGACAGCTGAACTCAAATTAGTCTCACAAACGGCAAGTAGGTCTGGTGAACTTTGCATATGTATATGTACATACATAAATATATATTTATGTATGTACATATACATGACCAGACAGTTTGTTATTTATAGGAGTGTGTTTATTAATAAAACTAATAAATTAATAAATAAATAAAATAATATTTAAAACTTATTAACGAACTTAAACAACTTTATAATGTTATTTATATCGTTAATTCTAAAATCAACTAATAAAAACATTTTATTGGTTGATTTTAAAACTAATGTGCATTTTTACGGGCTTTTAGTAATGTTTTTCATAATGCCAAACTTTTTATAAAGCATGTTTTTATAAAATTGTTTAAGTATTTGTAAAAAGTCTTTAAGTTTTTAATAATATTTGAATATGCACTTTAAATTTTTTCTAGATACTTATCTAATTTATTAAAGTTTGGAATTACTGATGTTGTTTGAACAAAGAATGAACTTAAAAAGTTATAAGTACTTTATAAAAGTAATAACACTATTATAATTTTATTACTTTTATAATGCATTTAGTGACAAGAGTGTTGTTACTTTTGCCGTTGTTAGTTTTTTGTTTTTTATAGCTTTTTTCCTAACAAACTTATAACCATTTACTCCTTAAAAACAAAGTACACGGCTTTTCATAAACTAAAATTTTAAAAATATCATTAGTTTCACCCAAGATAAAATACAAAAAAAAAAACTTTTACACCGGACTACTGATTATCATTACTCAAATAACAAATAAAAGCTGTTTCAGTTGCCCGCAGGGTAGGTGATAAAACCGGGCAACTGTGATAAAAACACTGCATAAAATATTTTGTTTTTACAACTTGTTTTGTAACTTATATTGACCACGCAACTTGACGCTTATTTAACAAAAAGAAAATCTTAAAGAAAAAGAAAAAATCTAAGCTCAAAAAACTAAAATTTAAATTGGAAAATATATTTATACTTAACTTTTTTAAAAATTAGTATACTATGCGAAATGCTTTAAAAATTATTAAATTCATAAAATAGGTGGCCTATAACTCAACTTAATTTTGAAATTTTAAAAATCATCAATTATGACAATTTTGATTTTCAACCAAAAACATTTTATTTTTATATTAACACCTAATTAAAACATGTACTAGTAATTTTTCAACCTACTGAATGATAGACCTACTGTATTTTTGACCTACTGAGTATTCAACCTACTGAATTTTTTAATCTACTATATTTCAACCGACTCTTTAATCGACTTTATATCTATGCTATTTCCAGTATGTATTTTGTATACTGTTTTTAAAGATTTGAGTTAGAGCCGGTTGGATGGCACATCCAGAGACAGTTGTTCTCACTCGCTAAAAAAAAAGGGGAGTAAAAAAAAAGATGAAATTTTATCTAACCTATTTGTTTCACATTATGATAAAGCATTTCATTATAATAGATAGATCATTTTCAACAGCGTCGACCAAATTTGGGCACCGATTTGGGCGCCACCCAAATCAAAATTTGAGGACCTTTTTTTTTTTTTTACATTTTTTATGGCAAATATTGTTTGTTTGTTTTTTTGAGAAAAAACAATGCTTTTCCACTAAATATCTATGGGACAGAGGGGTACTGCTAACCGAACTTTTTTCTAGAATAGGTCCTGACTGTACTGCATAGAAAAATAACAATTATACTTTTACTACTATATTGTTATACTGCACTGTATGAGATTTATAACTATTATATGTACATTGTTATTTGTACTGTACTGCATAACTATATACTGTACTTATAACTATTATATGTACATTGTTATTTGTACTGTACTGCATAACTATATACTGTACTTATAACTATTATATGTACATTGTTATTTATTGCTATGCTACTGCTTAAGTTTATAACTTAAGTAATGAAAGCATTTCAATTATTTAAATCAACTTTTTAATATATTTTTTAAAAGAATTCATTTTAAATATAAGGTTTTTATGAAATTATTATTCAGTATTGTAGTATCTTTTCAACAGTGTATTTGAAAAGGATTTTTTTTAAATAAAATTATTCTTTATGTGCCCATATTATGCCCAAATATAGACATTTCCAAGACCCATGGAAAATGGATTAGATTTTTTTTTTTTGGGTCACTCTAGACATATTCCTAAATAACTGTGCTAAAGAGCTTTATTGTTTTTTTTTTAATGGATTTAAATGGTTTTTTCCCCTATCCTACTGTACTAGTTTGTAAAAAAAATTATAAACGCAGGTAAAAAATGTTAAAAACACAGACTAGTAGGTTGGAATGAATATCACCTATAATCCTTTG